CACACACACACACACACACACACACACACACACACACACACACACACACACACAGAATCAACTCATTTTTACAGATTTTGTGGTTAAATATTTATTTAACTAGCTACACAGTTACTGTTCTGTTTCATTTTTAATATTCCCTCTGTAATAAGTCTGAAGATTCATCCTCCGCTGCCCACTCTGCGTCATATCAGAACAAAAAAAAAAAGAACAAAAAAGAACAAAATCAGCTCATTAGCAAACCTGTGGCTCAAATACAGATGCTTTTTCATGCCGTTTTTAATATTCCCTCTATAATAAATCTGTTTATTGGTTAGATCCTGTGGTCACTCACTGATGTCATAAGATCATTATCATTTTCTGAGCGCAGAATGGTGGGTTGCTTTTCCACAAGTGGGTCTGCCGGGCTCAGTCCCGGCTCTGATACTACCTTTGCTCACGGCTCAGGGGCGCATTAGAGGCAGGCTCATTTTACATGCCTTTCTGCCTCCGTGTTTCTTCTGAATGCCGGGAGGAGGACAGAACACGCATTAGTCCTGGACCAAGCTGACTTATGAATGAGGCTAATTATAACTACAATAAGTTGCGCTAGTAATTTCTATTACACTGCATGTACACTGCTCAAAAAAAAAAAAGGGAACACTACTGCTCAAAAAAAATAAAGGGAACACTTAAACAATGCACGCTAACTCCCGATCTTAATCAATGAAATGTTAGCATTGAGTACTTTGTTCTGTACAGAGTTGAATGTGCTTCACAAAAGTTTGATTTACTTGGACTTAGCGTGCATTGTTCAAGTGTTCCCTTTATTTTTTTTGAGCAGTAGTGTTCCCTTTATTTTTTTGAGCAGTGTACAATAAATGGAAGAAAGAAAGAAAAAAGAAACAACCCTTGAAACAATTCTATTTCTGTTCCTTTGCCGTGAACTTTTATGGCTCTCATGTAAGGAACAAAATGTCAATTTCTTTGAACGCCCACACTTTCTGTGTTTTACTAGAACACTGAGGTCTGAACTCTTCAACTTGTACTGTAGGTGTTTCCTGTGTCAGTGTTCGCTGCACGTTCAAGTCGGTAAAACAATATTGCCTTCTCAAGTGTAGATGAATGTGTTCTAAAGGAAGCGATTGTGGTTTGTGTCGTTGCTACACTGACTCGCTTGCACTTCATCTTTTCATTTTCAAGCAAAACCAGCCTGCAATAACTTGTCTTGGAAGCAAATGAAAGAGAACGCAACATGAAGAACCCTGTGTTTGCTCTAATTTATGGATCGATCATAGCTATTGGTCTGCCGCTCAACGCCATAGCGCTATGGATTCTGCTTCGTCGCCATGGCAGTAAATCATCCAGTGCCGTATTCATGATCAACCTGGCGATATCGGACCTGTTGCTCATTATTTCTCTTTTTATGAGAGTTCACTATTACTCGTCAGACACCTGGCAGTTTGGATGGCTGCCATGCATCTGGTTCACCATGCTTTTTCGCAACAACATCCGCACAAGCTCCATCTTCATCACCTTTATCAGCGTGGATCGGCTGCTGGCTGTGGTTTACCCTCTGAGGTCACGCCATCTGCGAACTACATCCAAAGCTGTGAGAGGTGCTGTATTTGTCTGGCTGGTTGTGCATGTGGTGAATGTTCCCGAGGGCTTTGGCTTTTCGAAACATTTGGATAATCAGACCTGCTTCGAATTTAACACAGGGAACAACTCAGCAATAAATGGGACGCTGCGCAACTCAGCGCTGGCTGACAAACTGCAGCTCGCAATTGGATATTTTCAGCTTGTGCTACTGTTCACCTTACTGGTGGTCAATATATTGTCCATGGTTATGGTGTCCTGGACGCTCCACAGGCATCTGAATGATTCTGCAAAGGTGGACAACAAGCTGAATATCAAGCTGATTTTTGCCACGAACTTGATGATGTTCATCGTGTTCTTCCTGCCAGTGTCCTTGGTGGTTTTCTTTGATAACTTAAGGCCCGTTCTGAGTTGTCTTGCCAGTGTAAACTGCTGTTTGGACCCGCTGTTGTATTACTTTTCTTTTGATGGTTTCTGGAAGAAAAAAGAGGGTGTGGAGATATCTCTAGCAAGAGACTAGTCACTGAACACAGATGGTGACAAAACAAATTACAGGGAAATTCAGTGGACATCAGCTAAGTCAGCTAAAAATCGTGTGTACTTGCATTTCCCACTCTGAAAACAAGTGAAGCTTTTTATTTAATAAAAGCACAAGCTTTATGGTTGCCTTAACAAAAAGCAACAAAACTTGTTTCTTGACTGTTTATAAAATTGTAAAACCAACTTAACTGTTGCTCATGGACTTCTAGTTCTCAGCAGATTAAATGATATGCTTTAGTTTTTGTGAAGTCAACCACAGATGTGCAAGAATTGTGAAAAGACTGTTTCATAGAATAGGAAATGAGCTGATGACTGTTCTGCTGATCAGAGCTGTCCTGTGAACCAGCTCAGCCAAAGTTTTATTTCTGTGAACAACTGAATGTCTCTGTAGCATTTCTAGGGCTCTAGATTCTATGGGATCTAAATATAAAGACTGGAAGTACACAGTGAAAAGTTATTCATTATTCTAAACCGCATTTAAATTTTTTTTACAACGACTTCCGTTAGGACAAACCAAACCCCAGCAAACACACAACTCTTTTGGCAGCAGATCAACAAAGATAAGCTTTGAAGTTGAATTCAACTCTAAGATGCTGATCACAGATGTGTAAGAACTGTAAAACAGCTTTAACGTAGAATGCCACTGTAAGCTAATGATCTTGTGACTGATCAACCTGTATCTGTGACCCTGTCTCACACTAAAAGATCCTCAACATTTTTTTTGTTTTGCAAAGTCAGTGAACATGTAAATGTCTCTGTAGAAAGACTTGGATCAGATCAAAATCCAAATGTAGGGTATGAGAGTATCAGGAAGTATACTCAGCACTTGTAAATTATATAATAAATTATAATATTTTATAATCCTAAACTCTTGTTTTCTTTTACAAATACTTCTGACAGAAGAAACCAAACACCATCAACCACATGCCTGTGTTGAATATCACACAATCTTTTAATGCTTTGCACCCTGCAGCTCTAAATGTGCCAGACTTCTCAATCTTAATATGCAAACTCTAGTTTTGCTAAGAGTGACAGTATTTACATGCGTAAAAAGTACTTTTGTGTTATTAAAGTCAGATTGTCTGTATATTGGGCTGTAGCCAACCAGATACTGGTACGACCCTTCTAAAATTGAAGCTCAATGTGAAAATCTTTCCTGCCTGGAGCAGCTCCATATATGTTTAATGTGACCTTTACCTGTGCCCTCTTCAGGAGGAAAGTAATAATGAGAGTCTGAAAATAAATATTTCTCAGAACCCTACCTATGGGGTGTTTTTTCATTGTATGAAGCCCGCATTGCATTGCAGTTACTATTAGTTCGGGCTGTGCAGAGCGAGTGATCAAGTTAAGGCAGCCTATTTTTTTCATCCTGCACCACATCTCTCACTGAGGCACCTGACAAACTATTTAGTGTGTTGGTTTGTATTACAGCTGAAAAGTTGTGTGGGTGTGAAGTAAAAACTTTGATACGTACACACACTTGTCTGGTTTGTTTGTATATCAACATCAAGCTCTTGGTTATTGTCAGGGGTGTGGCTATGGGTGAGCTTGTACCAAGGTCCAACCAGTCAAATGGCTTTAAAAAATATATATATAATTATAAATTACATAATTTTGTTAAATTTTTGAGGGGTTCTATCAGGTAAGAGAACTGTCAGAATCATATGTGTAAGAGTCTAAATTTGTACATGTAAGTCTATAAACGTACTTAAATTTGTTAAAACTTTGCCACATTACAAGTACGAATCAAATTTACAAGTACGAATCAAATTTACAAGTACGAATCAAATTCACAAGTACGAATCAAATTTACAAGTACAATTCTTATGTGAGAATACAAGTTTTTAAGTTACAAATACAAGTTAAAAAGTTACAACTTTGCCACATAACAAGTACGAATCAAATTTACAAGTACAAATCTAATTTACAAGTACAATTCTTTTACCCGTCAAAATATGACATTATGCATGGAACACCGAAAAGATTGATTGCAAACAGTAACTAAGCCAGACCACTGGGGGGGACATGACCACTGCCTCATTTGGGACCAGATGAACTCTTTATAAACACAACAATTTGCTGAAGGGAAAAGCATTTGGAGGCTTTTAAGTTTGTCATTCATGTCATGTAGTACAACAATAAAGTACATACTGGATTTATGATGAACAACCAAAAAGGAAAACTGATGCATTTATAAAACTGACTGCATAATGGAAAAAAAAAATGCAAGTTCAAAAACACATAACGGCAGTGCTCTGACCCAGCCAGCAGGGGGACTGAAGTCACCCACCATCAAACCCCTAAACAACTGTAAGTTAAACTCTTTTTACTTTTAATAGTAGTTTGTATTATTTATTTCACATTTGGTACACGTAGTACTTGTCAGTATTTGTAAGAGGATGTGTTTAAACAGTTTCTATGCTGAAAGTGGAGCTTCGCTGATTGCTGTTGTTGTTAACATGGTGTTAGTGTTAGCATGATGATATGAATAGGAAAGAAAAAACAGCCTCATGCTTCCTGTTCAGCTGAAGTTTATTCAGAACGGCTTGAAAAAAACAAAAACCTAATTGGTGTTAACATCCATCCATCCATCCATCCATTTTCTTCCGCCTATCCGGGGTCGGGTCGCAGGGGGCAGCAGCTTCAGAAGGGAGGCCCAGACCTCCCTCTCCC